AGTAAATTTCTGTAAGAGGAATAGCCCACCCCTGATGCAAATATTGTGTCATTGGTGGGCTCAGTTGTAGTCTGTAGTGGGATTAAGTAAGTTTACTCAAAATAATAAATGTACTACTTTTAGGAGTCGCTCCTTGGTAAGAATATTTACTGATATTCCATTTTAGCCCGATTAACGCCTGCATTTTGAGAATTCTTTCGTACAAATTAGTGAATTTTTGATATGCAAATTAAGATCGAAGGGAAGGGTCTCCTCTGATCACGCTGGTATGAATATTATTTCAGCTGAAGTTTTTATATTTTGTCTGAGAACTAAATGAATACATCTTGTAACTTGTAGCAAGATAGAATTCCGTGAGCCATATTACTGCAGTCGGTGCGCGCTAGACAAAATCTGTGAAATTTTCACTTTCGATCCCTGTCCTCACGGGTGGTCTAGCCAAAAATCATTTTTGGCTTATGTCGATGCCAAAAAAAAAAACTATCCGAGAACAACTACACTATTTTTGAAATATGTATCCTAAACCCTTTTCATGGGCAAAAAATAAACGAAAATTTTTTCCCGACGGGAAGTCGAGAGGACCGCTCTTGGCGAGAGCGGCACTCAAAGTATTTCTTTTATGACGCATTTCCAAAGCGAATGAATTACAAAAAGAGGCTAAGGTGAACAAAGCTAATTGTTAGCAGCAGTTGTTGCCGTGCCAAATGGAACGACAAAGTGAACTGGTTAAAATCAGTTAATACAAGCCTCCTAACTCAAGTACGTAGCCATTTTATACAGTAACTTGAATGTCCATCAACTGTCACAAAGGAGTGAACTACTTGTCGTGGGATCTTTATCATTCTCAATTGATCTCTTTATGCGACGAAAAACTGTGATAAGATATAAAACGAATTCAAGTGGTCTGAAGAGAGATAAAAAACATTACTACCATCCAAATTTAGACTGGTAAATGAAATGGTAAAGATTCATAGCTTAGTCTTTTCCGCCCTTTTTAAAAAAACGACGGAACACTTTGGAGGTAATAACTGTGACTGTTTGGGCTAATGGTTTCCTTTAAGAAACATAGTCTAGGCTAAAAAAAACACTACAGTAGAAAGATTCCTGTAAGTGCTTTTGTGGTAGGTTTCCATTTCCCAAAAGTAATTGCAGAAGTCTCTTAAATTAAAAGTGGATCCTTTGACAATTACAGCACCATAAGCTCCTTGACCATGCGTATTAATATACATTATCCGCGGGGAAGTTACCATAAATAAAGAGGTCTTCCCGTTTGAAATAATGTCTAGGAAATACGTTCTGTTAACCTTAAGGTTATATAGCTGACCACATGCTGTGGACAGTACGTGGTCATCTTCTAGTCTAACAGGTAAGGGTTCTGTCACAGAAATATTTGCAAAGGACAACATGGTGGCAGCTTCTGGTAAGGAGAGATATCTCTTGGGTAGACTGTCCCGGCAAACCTCCTATTTCCTAAATCTATACAGGCACAAAGCATCCTAAATATATCGTGCGGAAGGGGTCCTAGATCAGGAATTTTAATTCCATTTCTAAAGAAAATATACGCAACAAGAAGAAAAATTAAGCTACAAGCATTAATTTCATTGCATCCGTTGAAGGTGCTCTGGCTTATCTCTTGAGGGAACTGCCAAACACAGATATCCATACTAAAAGTTACGGCATTTTAAGGGGGCAATGCTTGCAATTCATCGACGATCTTTCATAACTCCTCTCTATATAGAATTCCGGGTCAAAAGCCTTCGTAGTTCCTTTTTCTTTACTGATTTAATTGGTCTGCCTCCTCTTCGTCCTCTGCGTCTGTTAACCAGGTGTCAGTAGGTTTTGCTTCTTGATTGTCTTCGCACAACTAATTCTCGGAAGGAATCTAGTTTCTCTGATAAAACAGGGGCAAAGTACTTCAACCCTGATGCAATTTTCTTTAAAGCAAAGTTCCTTCCTTCTTCTAACAAGGAGATCTTTCCTCTGGTCAACAGCGGATCTGAAATCGATCCAGAACTACCTGACACCTAAATTTAAAAAAAATAAAAATAAAAAAAGGAAACCCTCTTTTGGAATCATTACCATAACACAGTCTTGAATCTGGTAAAGGTTAAGACTGACACCCACTGGAAATGAACAAGATAAGCAACCTGCCGATTGCGATTGACACTATGATCCTAGCTTACAAAAGACTAAGTGCTAACTGAACACGATAAGTTGAAAAATGTTGTTGCAATGTGTCAACAAAGAACGACTTTTCCTGTAGAGGCTTTTTGTTGGTTTCTATTTTGTTTTGAATTCACGTGTAAACCACGGAACAGCACCAAAACTTTACATTTACCAAGCTTTCAGTACAGTTTTCTGGTTTTGGATTTACGTTAAGATTCCATCTTTGTAGAAGGACATAAATCCAGTCATCTCTTTTTTGATCAACAGCAGCTCTTCGCTTAATTGCTGAACTTCAATTTGCCTTTCTTACCACTGCTCTTTTGATACTGAAAGGGACTGGAATGTCATCCAATTGGTTTTCACTGAGAAAAATACTCTACGGCGATACGATTAATGCTCAAAAATGATTGTGGCTTACCAGTATTGTTAGAGTTATCAGGCTACTGTCATGGGATTTCCCCTTTCTCAATCTTCTCGGGTACCACGCTACTGGTATCACCAACAAGTTGACTGTAGTCGCACTCGGTTGTTTTTAGCGAATAGCTCTCACTGATAACTTTTCTTCGCAGCCTTTGCCTCTGCTTAGACGAGTCTGCATAAAAGAAAGGAAGGTAAAGAAGTGTGCTTCCTTTTAAAAGGTCAAAACGCTCTGATATTTGAACAAATTAGATGACCACTGTCACTCTTAATTAAAAACCTTAAGTTCATTTATGAATGGCAGACTAAACTCTTGTTTTCAGGAATCTGATAGTTTCCAAGAGCTCTAACCTCATAGCTTTCCTATGTTGTATATCATCTGAGAAATCGAGAAATAATAAATTTCCATCTGCTTTTTTAAGAGTCTGTCCAAGAGAGACCGGGCAGGCGTGACACATACCATCTCACCGATTTCTTTAGGGTCACTAAGTTATTCAAGAATCCAGGGTGGTTCGGGCTCCCGGCTTATCCCTGGGGTATTAGAGCCCCACACCAAATTCGTGGGTTAAAAGGCTAAAATTAGCAACATAAATAAGATGGAACCTTCTCCGAAGTTCCCCCCCCCAAAAAAAAAAAAAAATACATATATACATATATGGTGCATTGAGTAAAATTATAATAGGTATATAAAGTGTTTCATTTGTGTAAGTTACATTTGGCAAACGTTGCTTTCAACTGCCGACGTTCATTACTCAACTTGGTAATGTTTAATCTATGATATGTACATACCTTCATGATTAATGTTTTCTAATAGATTGTGTCACCGTCACAGAATTTCTATTATAAGTGATATCTGTTGTTTTTAGACATTAGTGCCACAAAACTAGCGTCAGCGATCACATTCTCAAATTAAAATTGAATGAATGAACATCAGGTCATGACCAAAACTTGAACAGATTAACGTCGGAGGTTAGGTATTTCAGAGGGACGTGATAAAAAATCTTTTACAAAAGGCCAAAAAGTTTTTTTTCTGCCACAAACGTAGTGTTAAGATAAGTCTTTCCTGTGATGGTATGTTTGTCGACATACAATGTTGCCCATTAGAGATATTTGCAATTATTGGTTCTTTTTAAGTGGCCCTGTAGGATACGCAAATAAGCCTAGGCCATAAAATTTATTTGGCATTACAGATATCAGCACCTGTGTTTAAAAAGCAGGGATAGATATATAAATGGTCAAAGTTTTCCTCAACGAGGACGTTTTTGAGGGATTAATGCTAATTGTAGACTGAGTTATGAATAAAGTTTGAAATAGGCCTGTACCATGAGGGATGTTTGATGTCAACTTACAAGCTGTCATGGAAGTGTTATCATTCCAAGTGATTGTCTGCTAAAACAGGAAGCCGTGAGAATAGCATAATTTGCAAAGGTTTAAAACCACAGCTTGCAGTTAACACAGATTTTTAACTTTAATTGATATTAAATTGCGTCTTGAGTCTCTTAGTAATCTCAACATGTTAAATTTTATTGGCATTGGAGACATCAACAGAGAACGTGCAGAGAAATGGCATGTCTATGTCTGTGTTTCCTAGAAGACGCGATTTTCCAGAGAATCTAAAATTAAACTCTAGAAAGTAACTAGGGACTTTAAGAAACGAGAATAGGGACGGCGACGGGGACCCCAAAACCCGCAAAAAGACTGGGGAGATAACGCCGTTGGGGCGGGAATTTCCGCTCATGATGTCTGAAAGAAGTTCGTAATCAACTTTTGATTAGCCACGATGATGGTGTGATAAACGATGAGGAACTTCTACTCCTGCACAATTTAAATAGGTCCGATAATGTTGATCTTCCTTACAATTCTTATCCTGGTTTTGACTTCGATAATTTGGAAGAAGACGAGTGCCTTTCAGAGTTTCGCTTCTACAAGAACGACTTACCATTTCTAGCTGAAGTATTGGGGATTCCTGAGGTAGTGGAGTGCTATGAAAGAAGTATCTGCAGCGGATTGGATATGCATTTTTCTAAAGAGACAGCTATCCTTGTCGATAATTAAACATGATTGCTCGCTTTGGGAAGCCTGTTCCAGTGTTATGCATGATAAACAACTACATGATCGACTACACCTACCAAGCACACAGTCACAGAATTTTGCAGTGGAATGATAGCATCTTACAAGGTAAATTGAAAGAAAATATTCTCGGTAGATGTTTGTCAAACTGTGAAAAAGGTATGGAGTTCTTGACGTGTGATGGATGTGAAGATGAATACGACAAGTAACTATGTGAATCTGTAGGTTTGTAGTAAACACTAGTGCATAAACCGTTGCCTTCAATTGAAATTTTGATGTCTAGAAAAGCCAAAGAAGTGTCATCAGGACTCGAGGGAAAACAAAACTAATTAGTTTCCCGAGGGACCATGCAGTAAGTGCTTTGTTATATATTTAGACTTTCCCTTTAACAATCATATGGCAGAAAAAAACTAACAAACATTACAACATTACTTTTATTGTATGCATGGTTTTACGCAGGGTTTACAGCTGTGTTAGTAAGATTGGATCAGCGGGTCCAGACTCGATTGGTAGTCATTACAATTATCAAGACCACGACAGACAAGTAACATTGTTTAGCGGTATTCAACTGTGGACAGTGCCACGCAATGGTGATTACAGGATAGAAGCAATAGGAACCTCAGGGGGGTACGGTGAGAACAGTATCATAAAAACCGGAGGAAGAGGAGCACGGGTGATTGGAAACTTTAATTTGACCAAAGGTCATTAATAGACTTGTTGGTCAAAAAGGAGAAAAATGGAATTCAAACCGAGAAACTGCCGGAGGTGGTGGAGGTACATTTGTAGTGAAAGAAAACAACAAGTCTTTGATCATAGCTGGAGGTGGAGGAGGAGTCAACATCCAGGATGTGATGCATCCATAAACATAACAGGGAATGGAGGGAACAACTCGTCACTGGGGTCAGGAGGAAGCCACGGACATGGAGGAAAAACTAGTGGTAAATTTGCAGATAAGCGGAGAAATAAGAAAAAAAAAAAACCAATCAGTATATTCAATCCACCAGGACAGGAAGACGACAGTAAGATTTATCTAAACTTAATTATTGAGATTACCAATTCTAATTTTCAAGTTTTTCTTTTCTCGGAAGCACCTCTTAGAATATCTAAAGTTCAACTGAGTTTTCCGTTCAGTTTTTAAAAATCCAACACATTTATTTACTGCTCACCACCGATCTGTCAATATGCATATGTATCACTTCATTTATATTTCTCTTGTCCTGATAAGCTTTTGTATTTCTAGTAATTGACTACCCAATAATATTTTTAAATAAACTTCCAAAAATTGAGAAGTGCACTTAGTTGATTCCTCAGGAGCTCATTATCCGGAGCTTCCATCTTTCATACTTACCCTCTGAGTCAACCCTGTCCCGTATCTTTTAATTTTTGGAAGAACCTCCCACGGGGTTTTTCGCGGGTGTTTACATAATAGCTAACGCTCATAATAATAGCCAACGCTCTTAAGTAAGTAATCAAATAGGAGCCATCTATGAGACAACTGCTGCTCACTTTTCGTTTATTGTAGGTGGCGGCGGCGGCGGCTGGGGCTTCTACAATAATGGACAAGATACACAGTACTCTAAAAATAAAGGAGGTAAAGGATATCTTCAAGGAGGAGTGGGTGTAAATGCTACGGGTGGTTTCGGAGGGGGAGGTGGTTTACGTGGAGGCAACCATGGAGCTGGAGGTTATTCTGTAGGAAATGGTGGAGCTGATGAACAGTTCTCCTGTGGGGGAGGGGGTGGATCTTTTAACAATGGGACAAATCAGTAAAATAAATGTTGTTTTAATAGCTATGAACATGGTAGAGTGATCATCACGTTTCTTCAGTGACATGCCCTTGGCAGCACTTTCACTAACGTGTAAGGCTAATTCTGTTTTGAAGGCTGATTGTTGTTAGTCTAAACTCCGGAGTTGAATTATCTTTTGTTTGATCTTCAAGTTTAGTTGCTGAGCATTTAAGGTGTTGACCGAACGGTGCAACCTGAGGAATTAAATCATTTGTTTTTTAGTTCAGATTTCAAATTTACAAAAATAATATTCTAGAATAGATTTATTTGTAAACATCTCCTGACGTAAGGAAAACGTCTCCTACAAAAACTGCTGCTTTTGTTCTTTTTCCGGCCTTTTTCTGAGCAATATTTCAGATGGACACGTGCATCAATTGATAACTAGTTAATAAATAACATGCAGGGTATTAGAAATAGTAAGTATTTTGTAGAGAAAATGTTGTGAAGACAGTCCTTCATAATTTTTCTGTATTTCAAACATTACATATATTTAGGAATGATTTTCAACTGACTGCAGGGGTTTATCGATTTGTTCTTCTTGATTAAGTCAAAACCAAAATCGATTTTCAATTCTAATACGATCGGTTATACCCAGTATCTTTGTTTTTCCGGCTGCTATGTGAGCCGACTGATTGCATTTTTTCGCATGACACAGATTGCAGTTTTACTGCCATTGGCGCTGGTTACAAGTTATACAAAAAACTTGTATTTGATTTGGCATTTGTATGGCCTCGTTTGCTGAGTATCAATAGAATCTTCTATTTATAAATATTTTAGCTTTGTTTTGGTTATACGATGATACTCTTGATTCAAAGTTTCAAAGCTTTCAATAATACCTTAGGTTGGAAAGATCCAGACAGTAGAGAAGGGGAAAGCCGAAATATAGTGGCAAGGGCACAACCCCCATTGCATATAATAGGCCAAGCCGAAAATAAAAAACAAAACTATCAATGAAATTTTTAAAAGCACAGTCCCCGTCAAAGTACCTGCTTTAGGGTTATGGAAATTTGAAAGCTTTTTGGTTTTACTAATAAATCTCATCAGTGATTCGGTCTTGTTTCTCTAAATACGTGAAAGTAAAATTAAGGATGTGAATAAGGTGTGCTGTTTTAAAATCATGTCCATTTATTGGACTGGGAATACTCATACGCCTGTCGGGCGAACTTATGTAATAATCGGTGTTATAACAGAGTTTGCGACTCAAAAGACTCAGTCTGACTACAGATCAGGGCTCACACTGGAAGAGAATTGTTCAATGGCTTTCGCTGGAACTGTAAGTTCGATCGACTATGTGACGATTTCGACCCTAATTGTATCTTGGTTGATATCATCCATGCATAGTTATTCATTAAATAACATGCAGGGAATTAAGACTAGCTAGTATTTCAAATAGAAACTATTGTGAAGTCAGGTCTTCAGATTTCATGTGTTACATTATAGGAATGGTTTTCAATTGACCGTGAGGGTTTATCATGTAATCAATTTGTTTTTCTCTGTCATCTCAAAAAAAAAAGCAATTTTCAATTTTCACTCTACCAGTAAGGCCCAGTATCTTTGTTTCTCCTTCCTTTGGCTCGTATTTTGCTGCCGGTTGCAAACTATTCGCGAAACGTGTGTTTTACTAATTTTTGATACGTTTGGTGTCTTCTGGTTTTTATCATTGGAATATACCATTCTTTATTATTTTAGTTTTGGTTTTTAGGATTCCAGTCGATTGAAAAGGGTTCAGCTACACCTATAGCGGAATGCATATTTGAATTTTATGTTTCAGCGAGAGGTACATTGTATTCTTGATAATTTATTTTACATTTTGAGGAAGTATCAGGGAGCGTGGAAAAGAAATATCAGAAGTATTTGCTGCACAAGGCATTTTTTTACGATTAACTGATGGGTTAACTTAACAGATACTGTGTTGTAACTCGGTGATTGTTTATAGTTGTTTCTGGCATCTTATGTTAATGCATCATTCACATTCTATCGCACAAAACACGTGATTCTAAACCGAGATGTAAGAGTTGCTCTAATTCGCTTCAGCATGAGGGAAACGCGAAATTCAATGGTTATTCCTGGACATGAAATCATGTAAATTTAATTCATATTTCTTGAAAAATTCAGTCGCCCTTGACCACTAAGCATTTCTATAATCTGGAGGTTTTGTTCAAATTTAATTATATATTGAAGTTATGCTGGAAAACTCCTTCTCGACGGAAACTGGAGTGCTGATATGCTGAACTGAATGCACTGCACTGAACTGTTTCCAACATATATATACTTTATATCCCAGGGGACAACCTATGCTTAACTTCCTTGTTTTTTTAATTACACTAATGGCTGCCTGTTTCAGCCAACAGGTGTCTTTTCTCATAGTTTTTACTCAGTCTTTGACTCTTTGTCCCTTCGTATTGCTTACTTTCAAATGCTTACAACTCAAAAAGAAAATCCTTACCACTAAAAGTTTCATTTTAATATCCCTTCTTAGTGGGTATGGCTTGCATTGAGAACATCTCGGTGGACGTAACAGTTTTCATGGGTTCCTACAAGTTTGTTAATATGATTGTGGAATTTTATAATGCAACGCGAGAATTCCGTCAATTTTGTATTTTGGTTATAAAAAGCTTTGACCCACTAGGTACACATGCTTGGCGCCCTTGGTCTTATCTTCATAAGTGAATGGGTTTCTGCTCAGTTAACATGTATCTTTGCATTTGAGTGTTTACTCTTTAGATATCAATGCTCGCCTGGCTATGGAATAAATTCATTTGTGATTATAAACTTTCACACCTGTGTTTCACCAATCGCGAAAAAGTAGATGTTCAAGGTTTGCCTTACGTTTGCATCCAAAACTTAAGTCAATTTCAACCCACAGGAATAAAGAGGTGTTTCATTATTTCTGCTTTGCTGTGTTTATAAATGTTATACCACATATCCGAAGCATGGATGTTATACTACACATCTAAAGTGTAGATGTTCTACCACAGATCTGTGGTAGAACACCTCTTGCATTTTCTTCCCGGTTTTAGGCGACACTTACCCTGGATCTTAAAACTTTCTTGTTATTCCTTATTTGTTTGATAATCAAACATTCCTCGTGGTGCTGAAGTATTTCGAATTGCCAGTTTCATATAGACTTAATTCTTGAAAACTAATTGTCAGAGAATGCCTCGGACATCAGTGTTCCGTGATTGCTGAAACACCGATGAAAACTCTGAAATGATGCTTGAATTTGATAAGTTTTGGGATTACTATCGATCATTAGCATTTGGATGCCAAGATACCTGTCAGTTTCTGAGCCGAAGATGGGTGTTGAGGGGTCTTTCTGAAAACAAAAGAAATTAGCACAAGTTCCACTTTGCAACAAGATATTGTAGGAGCATTTAAAACCGAAAGAAAGCTGTTACAAACACAAAACCCATGGAGGTGTTCTGACTGCTGAGCACAGATAATGAGATGTTTGATTTCACCATATCCTACGCGCGGAGTTCTTTGAGGTTTTAACCAAATATTAACTCTGAGAAAAATCCACCTTGTTGCTTGAAACAAAAATCAATTAGTCTGGCAAGATAGTTAAGGGAGGAAGAAGGAAGTTAAGAATAGAATTCCCACAAGGATTAGGTGTGTAGATGTTGCAAACAGTCGCAATTCATTCGATGAACAATTTTGATGTTCCAGTTTCTGTTTAAAAGGAGTTTTTAGTGTCTTATCAAGAAATGAATAAGGCTGATTGAAGAGCCTTATTATCAAGTTTACAAGGAAGAACAAACACATAAAAACTCGTCAAGGATGAATGAATTTTCCAAGAAATATGAATGAAAATATGGATCCAAAAAAAATTTGGACGGACGATTTTGCTGACACTTGTCAATGTGCGTGTTACCCGAAAATATGGGATTCTAAGAAAAATCTATAATCTTTAGCTGAAACGAATGCAATTAGCTCGAATAAAAATTAAAATACGAAATTCGAAGTTAAACAAACATATCCCTGTACGTGTAAAAGCTCCAAGTTTTGTTATAAAAGGTGTTGGCTAACACAAAAACATTGGTAACAACTGCAAACTATTCCGAAATTGCGAAAAAAAAATAGCTTAACTTATACCTCATTCACACCAAAGCATCTTTTAAAGCTGTTTTGTTGCACACGGTTTAAAATTGTATTCTTCACAAAAGCTGCTTTAATTGATGTTTCTAAGAAAAGATTATAGACTATTGTTTGTAATCTAAAATGTTATAAACTATTTGTTTCAGTCGTATCTGATAATATTGCGCCACCTCGGAACATTAGAAGATACAATTTCATAAACCAGTGCAATTTTATGTTGCCGAAAATGCGCACTCATCGTTACACGTACACATATGTTCAATCCATGTCCAATCGATAAAACTTTTATATGTTTTTTTTCCCACAGTCATTTTATAATACATGAAATTTTTATTTTACATATGTGTATGTAACTTTGACATTTTGTAAAAATCATGCAATTGGCAGCCTAAGGAGCCTGAAGATTTGAATATTTTATAATCTTTCTATCTATCTCCAACTATGTCCAGGTTCTGGGTGGGATTAGAAAGTGGCGGAGGTTAGTGGTGTGACTGTGGGCTGATATTTTTTAAGCTCTTTTTTCTGAACTTCTCTTCGATTCCATGACTCAGCTCTCCGTCACTTCTGGAATACTATTGACAATGGAGCAGCCTGTGGCTAATAAATAGCTCTGTTTTATGTTATCGAAAGACAAAATAGAAACTCTCTCAGAAGTTGTACTGTTAAAAATGCTCATTTTTTCTCCTTTTCTCACCATGTTCGTCCTGGATGTATTTCATTGTACACCTCAACTTAATTCCGGGAAACAATGAGACTCTCGGGAAAGCTAAACCAATAATACTCGTGAACAAATCACGCGCGTCTGATTGGCTGAGAACGAGTGCATTTTTTATGTAACACGAATGCAAAGTTGTTACAGGAGTTCATGCAAATTACAATAGCGTGCGCGTTGTCAAAATTTCGTTTGTCTTGACTTTCTGTGATGCCTTTTTCATGTACATTACTAACAAGTAATAACATGATTTCTCTTTCCACAAAGAGCCATTTCGGTCCACGTTACGAGGGAGATCACTCTACGAAGGAATGAAACCTCCTAACCAATCAAAAGTTAAAGGGACCTTCCTCTGATACGAAAATGGAGGAAAAAGTTTCAGGAAAATGCAGATTAAGTCAAGGGTGATATCAAGCCCCCCATTACTCAATAACAACAACAAGTGATACATTTGTGAAACTTAAAAGGTTGCTTGTTTATTGAAATCACACTTAGCAATTAAAAACAAAGATATGAAATTATCATTATAAAAACCCTTAACATGACATTACGTGACATTTCTAACGATGTAGTTGCTGTAATAAGCAAAATTATTGTTAAAAAATGGGATTAAAAACAAAAGGACTTAAATAAAAAAAACAACCTCTGGACTGAATGTCTGCCGTGCTAAAATATTTTTGCTTCTCAGCCTTGGCTTCCTAAGACTCCTGATACTATCAGCTACAGTCAGTACAGATTTAAGCTACATTGCTAATTGGAAATACGATCTCATGTATGGGAAACGGTGAATTTCTCTCTTCTCAAAATTGTAATTTCCAGTAAAACAGTGTCTATCGAATTTGTAATATGAGCAACGCCACAGCGGCGCCGAGAACACATCTCACTAAAAGCTGGACTACTAACGACACTAACTTAAAAATGCAAAAAAGAAAGAGCCACTGTGGGTTCAAATATTACTGCTTATCTTGCGGGTAACAAAAAAAGCCTTGAATGTTTATGATATAATAAACACCTGATTTCCGTTAGCATTTTGTCTTCAACACGGTGAAGATACCTACAACGCGATGGGCGCGTTTCGTTCATCATATGGGCGTGGCTCATCATATGGGCGTGGCTCATCATATGGGCGTGGCTCATCATATGGGCGTGGCTCATCATATGGGCGTGGCCTATAGTATGTTGGACGTTGGCAAACATATTGGGAACAATATACATAGTAAACCAAGTGCTTTGACCTACAACCCCACCAAAAACACTCCCAGATCGTAACGCATGTATGCGAAGCTATCTTGGTTTCAATTTTCCAGTATCCTCCAATATTGGAGCACCAACACTTATCCCAGTAGGTAACGGTGCCTTTTCCACCTGGACACAGATTGCATGGGTGAATTGGCGGAAATGATCTCGCATTTCGACGACTGCGATGGTGCGTTCCTGTTGTAGAAAGAAAAGATACAACTGCATTAGATGTGTCACAACAATGTAAAGTTTGCGAAACAAGAGCAAAACATTCAGAGAAATACCTCAATTAATTTCGTACAGGAACTTACGACATCTAGAAATTTTATAAATTTCTATCACCTTCAAGATTCACCAGATGTCTATATATTTTGCATTCTTTAATTCTTTCAAGGAACAGTTTGGTTTGGGTTCTCTTCCTAAATTAATAAAAGTCACAAGGAAAGCGCGAACGCAATTTAGCCTTCTGTTTTTTTTCGGTATACGCATTTCAAGCTTCTCTGTCCATGACTCACCTTCTGTCTCAACCCTTGTAGAAGTCAATGAGTCGTCCATTATTTTCACCTGATATATCGGGTATTGTGTACAAAAGTTTGCCAACTCCTTGCTCAGTTCAGACCGATTAGCCATCTCTTTGTCCACTATCCACTTGCTGTCAATAATTTTGGTCTTGTCCTTGTCTAATTCCTGCAAAACAGCAACAGGATTTCTTAGTATTTTTCAGCTATCCCTAAGCAAAAGAGAAATCATGCGTCTCCTGTACTTCTCACCAATCGGCGCACTAGTCAGCTAGCAAGCAGGACAATTCCTAATTCTTGTAAAACGGCAACCAGATGTTTTAGAATTTTTCAGAAGTCTTTCTGTAAAAGAGAAACTATGCGTATCCCACAGTGTTCACAAATCAGTACACTGTATCCTTTGGTCAGCCAGCCGCCAGGACAAAACTATTGAAACCCGTACCCACATATTTCTCCTCTTGAATTTTTATTGGTTTCTCAACAATAGACTGGGATACCTAGTTAAGTTTCCAAAATGTTCCCAGCTTCTTATAATGATCCAAGAAGTGAGACATTTAAGTGGCAGCACCTCGAATGATAATTATAGCGAATAGTTAACAAATAAAGACTTAACACCAGTTGTGTTTTTAACTAAAAGATGAAAGATTAGGGAATTTTGTGACCGTTTTATTTCTTTGCCATCTAATAATGTTTAAATAATACAGTTTCTCTGAGTCGTTTGTCTGAAGAAAGGATCATGTCCTTACCTCTGTCCGGTCAAGATCACTCTCGAGTTTTGCTGGTGTCGGCATCTCTTCTGACAGTGGCATGAGGTAGCATATCTTTTTTTCCGGTAACAGCATCATAGTCATATTCTGTTTTACGATAAAAGAGGAATTTTTCGATAATCCCAATGTTGTTTAAACACTGGCGTTTCATTTACACGAAAACATAAGTTTGTAAGCACAATGAATATGTCCCCTTTGTCTTGTCTAGTAAAGAGTAGTTGATCATGTTCAGCGTTGTCCCAGTTGGCTTAAAGAGTTCTAATCAGGACTTGCTATGCTTGAAACACGATGAAAAGATTGTGCTTTATAATGAGTCAGTTGGGGTTTGAATTGATTAAGCATTTTTTTTAGGTTTGATTGAGGACTGGATAAATCCTAATGTTTTTACACCGCTTGACGCTAAAACAAATAGACTTACCGTCTTAAAGTCGTGCAAAATATTGCTTTCGTCCACGTCATTATGAGCAGGAACTTTAAACAGTTCAGTTTGCTTTTCCGTGGCCACTTCGATGGTCTCGTTGTACTCTGTCCCAGTCTCGCTGATTTGAACTTTGTAATCCACAACCTGTGAAACAGAAAATGCTCAAATTAGAGCGGAGTCTTCTTATATTCAGAACGGTGCACTGACCTTTGAATTTTGACAAGTTTGTTGAGATATGTAGTAAAAATATTTACGTAGAATGTCGCTAGCAAGGATGACAGGAATCGCGATAACGCGTCGGTCCGAGTGAAGTTTAATTACAACATTGTGGCAAGCAAAGGAATTTGTATCTCTAATGAAAGATGCATTTCTAAATGCAGCGAAGCTTAAATTTTAAATCCAGTTATTTCAGTAATTGGTTTTGAAACGTTTAATTTTTTTCCAAAAATTATATAAGCGAGGTAATCAGAAAATGACGGTAAAAGAAGACAGAGAAGGAAAAAAAGGCAAGTTCTTCATGGCATGCAAGATAAATTACTGCTGAGCCTTTTGTTACTGATTATTAGATTGGGAGGAAATAGTTGACCTTCTCGGAAGGAGAGCGAGCGGAACGGACGGGACTTGCAGATGTCCAGTTTGCTGTGGCAACAAGCAGCAGGATTACGAGGGCTGGTTTCTACAAAGAACGAACAAAATACATAGAGATTGTCATTAATTATTTTAATTAATTTCTTCTTATCACTGAAAAACACGAGATGAAGCCCTTAGTCAACCCATAAAAGTTCATCTAACTCCTACTTTCAAATTTTTTACTTCTATAAAAACTGTTGCCAACAAGATGATACTGCGCTGGGAAAAATGGGAGACATCCTTTAGATTCTTTCAGTGTAACTTAGCCGACATTCAATAATCAAAGTTTAGAAACAAAGATGCAGTTAAAAGTCAATCATAATAATGATGACAATATTCAGTAAAATACAGATACACAGTTAACGAAAAGAGGCCATGATCAATACATCAGTTCTAGAAGTATGTTTCAGTTGTTTGTGTGGTGCATGCAATTATAACTAGGCGATATCTAAACTTAAACAGTGTCTGATCACTTACAACGAGCATAGTTGTTAGCTTCTTGGCTCAGCTTTGTCTGGTTCTCTCCGTCAATTTTCTTCTTGGTGTTGCTCGTCTCTCTTTGACTGAAGTTGACGTGCACTGCAGCTTAGACGTGCTTTGCCTCTTTTTATGCCGTACTTAATGCTATGCATATGCATTATTAATGCATATTTGAATTTTATGTTTCAGCGAGAGGTACATTTTATTATTGGTAATTCAGTTTCGATTTTGCGGAAGTATCAGGGTGCGTGGAAAAGAAATATCAGAAGTGCTTGCTGCATAAGGTATTTTGTTACGATTAACTGATGGGTTAATTTAACAAATACAGTTTTGTGACTTCGGTAATTGCTTACAGTTGTTTCTGGCATCTTCTGTAAGTGAATCATTCACCTTCTATCATTCAAAACGCGATTCTAAACCGGGATGTAGGAGTTGCTCTGATTCGCTTCAGCATGAAGGAAACGGGAAATTCAATGGTTATTCTTGGATATCTGATCATGTAATTCTGATTCATATTTCCGCATCCCAGCGGACAATCTATACTTAACTTCCTTGTTTTTATTTAATTACAGTAATCGCTACCTGTTTCAGCCAACAGGTGTCTTTTCTCATAGTTGTTACTCAGTCTTTGACACTTTGTCTTTCTTTATTGCTCCCTTTCAAATGCTTACAACTCAAAAAGAAAATCCTAACCACTAAAAGTTTCATTTTAATATCCCTACTTAGTGAGTATGGCTTGCATTGAGAACATCTCGGTGGATGTAACAGTTTTCATGGGTTCCTACAAGTTTGTCAATATGATTGTGGAACTTTATAATGCAAGGCGAGAATTCCGACAATTTTGTATTTTAATTTTACAGCTTGAACCCACAAGTACACATGCTTGGCGCCCTTAATGTTATCTTCATAGGTAAATGAATTTATGCTCAATTAACATGTATCTTTGCATTTGATTGTTTACCCTTCAGATATCAATGCCCGCCTGGCTATGGGATAAATTCATTTGTGATTATAAGCTTTCACACCTGTGTTTCATCAATCGCGAAAAAGTAGATGTTCAAGGTTTGACTTACGTTTGTATCTAAAACTTAAGTTACTTTTAAACTACGGGAATAAAGAGGTGTTTTATTACCAAATAAGTAAGGACTGACAAGAAAGTAATGATTCAATTTTATTGTCCTCTAGAGCAGGAAGAAAATCATGAAGAACGATAGAGACAGGGTAGAAATGCTGTAAAGTATTTGAAAAGTGCCCACGTCCTTTCCGTGTGGCCTGTGAAAGAGGCGTAACCGAGCCTGTGTGACAACAAAACTCCTATTGTAGATTCAATTTACAACCAACCATTTTGATACCAAAATTTCCATGTTTATCAAGAGCGAGTTTACCACTCTACAAAATATCCTGGAAAGATTACCAAACATGCTTGATTCCTTATACAAGCATAAGTAAATATGCTGTCATACACTGCAAATATTTGCGAAATGCCGTCGTTGCTGACTCACATCGACTCACTTGAAAGACATAAAATAATTATACTAAATATTAAACGACGAAGAGGAAAAGAACCTAGAGAGGGTGTATTTTTTACTACAAAAATCATAACTTGTGTTGAAAAAAGAAAAGCTTCCGTGAAGACACATAAAGCTCAGAGAAAACATTCCATTCTATGTCATGCGAAAAATATTCATCTCACATAACCTTCGATCTAAAGAAAGCAGATGGCGAGTAAACTTTTAAAACACAGATAACTGATTATCAACTCTAAAGTACAAAACACAAACAGCGGTCGGATAAAGGTGACACTGAGCCACCACTTCATTTCAAATTATTCTTAAAATGAGCACAATGACTTAGAAACAGAGAACACAGGAAATTCTAATGAGGTTCACAAACAATGACGGAAAATGAAAAATAATTATGTTATCTTCAGAAAAACAGAAGTAAGTCTTAATACGCTGAGACAGTGAATCAAAGTATTTCTCTGCAAAACATTTGCAGTGTTACGCATACCCATAACTATTTCTCAGGATATGTTGCGTGATGTTTGCCTTGCTTTCAGCAAACACGGAACTTGATGGTATTTCGTCATTTTCAAGGGGGATACAGACTTGTACAAATTAATTGAAAGACGCCGAGAATTGTTAAAGCAGGTTACATTTGCTATACTTGCATTATTTCTGCTTTTCTTTATTGTCTATCTCTTGCATTTTCTTCCCGGTTTAAGGAGACACTTACCTTGGATCTTAAAACTTACTTGTTCTTCCTTATTTGTTTGGGTAACCAAGCATTCCTCGTGGCGTTGACGTATTTCGAATTGCCAGTTTCATTTGGACTCAACTCTTGAAAACTAATTGTCAGAGAATGCCTCGGACATCAGTGTTCCGTGATTGCTGAAACACTGATGAAGACTCTGAAATGACGCTTGAATTTGATAAGTTTTGGGATCAATATTGATCATTAGCATTTGAATGCCAAGATACCTGTCAGTTTCTGAGCGTAAACTCATTAACGAAACTGAATTAAAACGAGCCGAAGATGGGTGTTAAAGGGTCTTTCTGGAGGAAAAAGAAATTAAACAACACAAGTTCAACTTTGCAAAAAGATGTTGTAGAAACATTTAAAACCGAAAGAAAGCTGTTACAAACACAAAACCCATGGAGATGTTCTGACTGCTAAGCACAGACAATGAGATGTTTGATTTCATCACATCCTACGTGCGGAGTACTTTGAGGTTTTTACAAAGTGTCAAAGGCCAAATATCAACTCTGAAAAAATTCACCTTGTTGTCTGAAACAAAAATAAATTAGTGTGACAAGATAACTAAGGAAGGAACAAGGAAGTTAAGAATAGAATTTTCACGAGGATTAGGTGTGTAGATGTTCAAACAGTTGTAATCCATTGATTGAACAATTATGATGTTCCAGTTTCTGTTTAAAAGGAGTTTTTTAGTATCATATCAGGGAATGAATAAAGCTACATTTGAAGAGCCTTATTATTAAGTTTACAAAGAAGAACAAACAAACTAAAAAACTGGTCAAGAATGAATGAATTTTCTAGGAAGTACGAATGAAAATATGGATCGAAAAAAAAATTTAGAGGTACGATTTTGCTGACACTTGCCCCAGTGTGCGTGTTACCCCAAAATATGGGATTCCACTAAAGAACAATCTGTAATCTTTTGCTGACGCAAATGCAATTAGCTCAAATAAAAATTGAAATAGGGATTTCGAAGTTGAACACACATATTCCTGTGAAAGCACCAAGTTTTTTCATAAAAGGTGTTGGCAAACACAAAAACGTTGGTAACAACTGCAAACTATTTCTAAGGAAAGATTATAGACTCTTGTTTATAATCTAAAGTGTTATAAACAATTTGCTTCAATCGTATCTTATAATACTGTGCCAGCCAGGAATATTAGCAGATACAATTTCATAAACTAACGCAATTTTATGTTGCCGGAAATGCGCACTAATCGTTACACGAACTCATTTATTCAATCCATGTCCAATCTGTAAAACCTTTATACGTAGTTTTTTTTTAAAGTCATTTTATATTACATGAAATTGCTATTTTTGTAAAAACCATGCAATTTAGCCTTAGGAGGCTGCAGATTTGAATATTTTTATAATATTTCTATCTATCTCCATCTATGTCCAGGTTCTGTGCGTGATCAGAAAGTGGCTGAGGCTGACGGTGTGACTGTGGGGTAATATTTTTGAAGCTCGTTTTTCTGAACTTCTCGTTGATTCCATGACTTAGCTCTCCGTCACTTCTGGAGAATACAATGGAGAAGCCTGTGGCTAATAAATAGCTCTGTTTTACGTTATCGAAAGACAAAATAGAAACCCTCTTAGAAGTTGTACTGTTAAAAATGCTCATTTTTTCTCCTTTTCTCACCATGTTCGTCCTGGATGTATTTCACTGTACATCTCGACTTAATTCTGGGAGACAATGAGACTCGCGGGAAAGATAAACCAATAATACTCGTGAACAAATCACGGGCGTCTGATTGGCTGAGAACGAGTGCATTTTTTTTTTGCAAAGTTGTAACAGGAGCTCATGCAAATTACAATAGTGTGCCCGCTGTCAAAATTTCGTTTGTCTCGACTTTCTGTGATGCCTTTTTCATGTACATTACTAACAAGTAATAACATGATTTCTCTTTCCACAAAGAGTCATTTCGGTCCACGTTGCGAGGGAGATCACTCTACGAAGGAATGAAACCTCCTTACCAATCAAAAGTTAAAGGGACCTTCCTCTGATATGGAAATGGAGGAAAAAGTTTCAGGAAAATGCAGATTAAGTCAAGGGTGGTATCAAGCCCCCCATTACTCAATAACAACAACAAATGATACATTTGTGAAACTTAAAAGCTTGCTTGTTTATTGAAATCACACTCAGCAATTAAAAACAAAGATATGAAATCATCATTATAAAAACCCTTAACATGACATTACGTGACATTTCTAACGATGTAGTTGCTGTAATAAGAAAAATTATTATTAAAAAAATGGGATTAAAAACAAAAGGACTTTAATTAAAAAAACAACTTCTGCACTGAATGTCTGCAGTGCTAAAATATTTTTGCTTCTTAGCCTTGGCTTCCTAAGACTCCTGATACTATCAGCTACAGTCAGTACAGATTTAAGCTACATTGCTAATTGAAAATACGATCTCATGCATGGGAAACGGTGAATTTCTCTCTTCTCAAAATTGTAATTTTTATTAAAACAGTGTCTATCGAATTCGTAATATGAGCAACGCCACAGCGGCGCCGAGAACACATCTCACTAAAAGCTGGACTACTAACGACACTAACTTAAAAATGTAAAAAAGAAAGAGCTACTGTGGGTTCAAATATTACTGCTTATCTTGCGGGTAACAAAAAGAGCGTTGAATGTTTATGATATAATAAACACCTGATTTCCGTAAGCATTTTGTCTTCAACACGGTGAAGATACCTACGGCCCGATAGGTTCGTTTCGTTCATCATATAGGCGTGGCTGATAATGTGGGCGTGGCCTATAATATGGGCGTGGCCTATAGTATGTTGGACGTTGGCAAACATATTGGGAACAATATACATAGTAAACCAAGTGCTTTGACCAACAACACGACCCAAAACACTCCTGGATCGTAATGCATGTACGCGAAGCTATCTTGGTTTCAATTTTCCAGTATCCTCCAATATTGGAACACCAACACTTATCCCAGTAGGTAACGGTGCCTTTTCCACCTGGACACAGATTGCATGGGTGAATTGGCGGAAATGATCTCGCATTTCGACGACTGCGATGGTGCGTTCCTGTTGTAGAAAGAAAAGATACAACTGCATTAGATGTGTCACAACAATTTAAAGTTTGTGAAACAAGAGCAAAACATTCAGAGAAATACCTCAATTAATTTGGCGCAGGAACTTACGACATCTAGAAATTTTATAAATTTATATCACCTTCAAGATTCACCAGATGTCTATATATTTTGCATTCTTTAATTCTTTCAAGGAACAGTTTGGTTTGGGTTCTCTTCCTAAATTAATAAAAGTCACAAGGAAAGCGCGAACGCAATTTAGCCTTCTGTTTTTTTTCGGTATACGCATTTCAAGCTTCTCTGTCCATGACTCACCTTCTGTCTCAACCCTTGTAGAAGTCAATGAGTCGTCCATTATTTTCACCTGATATATCGGGTATTGTGTACAAAAGTTTGCCAACTCCTTGCTCAGTTCAGACCGATTAGCCATCTCTTTGTCCACTATCCACTTGCTGTCAATAATTTTGGTCTTGTCCTTGTCTAATTCCTGCAAAACAGCAACAGGATTTCTTAGTATTTTTCAGCTATCCCTAAGCAAAAGAGAAATCATGCGTCTCCTGTACTTCTCACCAATCGGTGCACTAGTCAGCTAGCAAGCAGGACAATTCCTAATTCTTGTAAAACGGCAACCAGATATTTTAGAATTTTTCAGAAAACTTTCTGTAAAAGAAAAACTATGCGTATCCCAAAGTGTTCACAAATCAGTACACAGTATTCTTTGGTCAGCCAGCCGCCAGGACAAAACTATTGAAACCCGTACCCACATATTTCTCCTCTTGAATTTTTATTGATTTCTCAACAATAGACTGGGATACCTAGTTAAGTTTCCAAAATGTTCCCAGCTTCTTATAATGATCCAAGATGTGAGACATTTAAGTGGCAGCACTCGAATGATGATTATAGCGAATAGTTAGCAAATAAAGACTTAACACCAGTTGTGTTTTTAACTAAAAGATGAAAGATTAGGGAATTTTGTGACCGTTTTATTTCTTTGCCATCTAATAATGTTTAAATAATACAGTTTCTCTGAGTCGTTTGTCTGAAGAAAGGATCATGTCCTTACCTCTGTCCGGTCAAGATCACTCTCGAGTTTTGCTGGTGTCGGCATCTCTTCTGACAGTGGCATAAGGTAGCATATCTTTTTTTCCGGTAACAGCATCATAGTCATATTCTGTTTTACGATAAAAGAGGAATTTTTCGATAATCCCAATGTTGTTTAAACACTGGTGTTTCATTTACACGAAAACATAAGTTTGTAAGCATGATGAATATGTCCCCTTTGTCTTGTCTAGTAAAGAGTAGCTGATCATGTTCAGCGTTGTCCCAGTTGGCTTAAAGAGTTCTAATCAGGACTTGCTATGCTTGAAACACGATAAAAAGATTGTGCTTTATAATGAGTCAGTTGGGGTTTGAATTGATTAAGCACTTTTTTTAGGTTTGATTGAGGACTGGATAAATCCTAAAGTTTTTACACCGCTTGACGCTAAAACAAATAGACTTACCGTCTTAAAGTCGTGCAAAATATTGCTTTCGTCCACGTCATTATGAGCAGGAACTTTAAACAATTCAGTTTGCTTTTCCGTGGCCACTTCGATGGTCTCGTTGTACTCTGTCCCAGTCTCGCTGATTTGAACTTTGTAATCCACAACCTGTGAAACAGAAAATGCTCAAATTAGAGCGGAGTCTTCTTATATTCAGAACGGTGCACTGACCTTTGAATTTTGACAGGTTTGTTGAGATATATAGTAAAAATATTTACGTAGAATGTAGCTAGCAAAGATGACAGGAATCGCGATAACGCGTCGGTCCGAGTGAAGTTTAATTACAACATTGTGGCAAGCAAAGGGATTTGTATCTCTAGTGAAAGATGCATTTCTAAATGCAGCGAAGCTTAAATTTTAAATCCAGTTATATCAGTAATTGGTTTTGAAACGTTTAATTTTTTTCCAAAAATTATATAAGCGAGGTAATCAGAAAATGACGGTAAAAGAAGACAG